TTATTATATTAGTCTTATTCTTATAAGCTAAATACGGTACTTCGTGTTTTGATGTACTTTTTCAATAAAAGGCTCATAGCCAAACAAGAAATATAATTGTGAGAAAGAAATGCTAATACAAAACAAAAGGAAAAATATCATAGTTCATAGAATAATTAATCACAACAGGATACATATATAATAATAGGAGTAATAGCACTGCCTCTAGCCTGGTCTTTCAAACGAGTCAAACCACAGCAAAACACTTGAAAGCAAACTAAGAAAGAGCCAAAGCATATAATAATGCAACTACACAAGTCACAACCAAAGCCTCTAACGGCTTGAACGCGGCAGTGGCAGAAGCAGAAGGAGCAGACTTTCCGGCTTCAACGGCTGGAGTTTTTCCGCCTTCTACGGCTGGAGTTTTGGCGGTGGTACCGTCTCCACCACCGGCTGATGAGGCTGAGGATGCACTTACGGTGACGGAGAGCTTCATGCCGCCGGTGCAATGGCCGGGGATACCGCAGATGAAGTAGTGTGGACCAGATGTCTTTAGAGCTATGGTTGTAGTTCCGCTACTGTCCGAAGAAATTGCGTTCCCCAGTTTGCAACCCTTGTAGTCACTTTCACTCACTTCGTCCACTGTGTGACCCGCTCCGTAATTGAACACTATATGCAACACAATGTACACATACATAGAATATTACAAACTACACATAGCTATGATCTCAAATGTTTTATATGTTTGCGTTCCTTAATTTCATTTTGTTAATTGTTAACACAAACGGGTTTTATTTCACTGAAGATATATTATAAAGAAACTAAAAAGAAAATTTTTTTTCTTGAAGTGTGTAATTTTCACATGTAATTTAATGCATTTTTTTTTAGAGAAAGGGTTAATGCAAATGCATATATTAGAGCCTGAAACATGCACATAATATGCATAAGAGAGGCTATATCTATACCAATGGTATCGCCAACAGCAAAGGGTTTTCCGGTAGCCAACGAGCTATAGTCCTTCCCGAGCGACCATTCGACAGAGTGAGAGGCCGAGAAGGCAGGTGCGACAGCAGTGAAGAAGATGATGATAAGGCAACCAACAAGTGTACTCAAGTTTGCCATTTTTGTGGAGGAGTGTAATAGTATGTTTAATTTAAAAATGATGTGACTAAGGAAAATCCTTGTGTGTTGTGAGCAAATTTATAGATAGAATGGAACCAAAAGCGTATGTTGGAGTTAGTAGAGAGTTAGCTCCACTTGCCCTCCAACTAAAGTTGTCATCATGTAAGTTTTGAAAACTTTTTTTTCATATTTTGAGATAAAGACTTGTTCCTCCTCTGCTCTAGCTTCGAGCATACTCAACAAAGGAAATATCTCCTCAAAAAATGGGTCATGATGTTGGTTGACAGATCATAAAGTCACACTCAAGGGTTCTTTGTAAAAAGATCAATGATGATGCAAACCAAAGTAATCACGATGTGTCATCAAAGTTCCCTTAATGATTCTATACATTTGACCAAACCAAAAGCAGAGGAACTAACTTTTCTTACTAGCAATCAGACACTTTGCAACAACTGATATTGAGTACGTGACGTTCATAATTCATTTGCTTTATTTACTTTAACACTAACAAATGAAAGTGAATATGTGACCATGTCCAAGAGTCCTACACATCGATCTATTTAGACCGCTTGCTCTAGTAAACGACGAGCTGATCGTTTTCTTGTAACATTGTAAATAAATAACATTATTGGTATGATACAAAAACAAAGGAGGTATCTGCTTTCAAAATCAATTTAAAGCAAAATATATACCTTTCTTAAAAATATGTACAATAATGCTTCAGTCATACTAAATTTAGAATCTAAGTTACTAAAAAGGTGATGGTTGTGTAAATTAGTTTGAAAAACGAAGTTAATACTCACCTAAAGGTGCAAGACAAAGCATGGATATGATATGATAGAGACCCTACAACTAATTTCACTGGTCATCAGACTGCCCACGTAATATATCAACCAGAACCGGACCATGATTCATGATTTGTCTTCAGTTTTTTTGCCAAGAAAAAAACTCACTTTTTTGTTTTCCAAGTTATATAGGCCTGTTTAAACAGTTAAAATGGGCTTACTTCGGCCCATGAAATATCTTCTAATTTTTTTAATTAGACCAGCCCATTTTTAATTAGGCCCATTTTTTTAGGTCAATTGATATTGCAAAGAATAAAGAAAAAAAAAAGCTTCCTGGAAAAAAAAGAGAGAAAAAGTAAAATCTTGACACAGAAGAGAATGAGAGGAAATAAAGTGTACACTCGAAATCCGAGTTTTCAACGAAAAATCAAACAGTTAACTTTGACAGCACACCAATTCTTGGTAAAACGTTAGAGTCTTTGCCTCTTTGGTACAAAAAAACTTCCCAAAACGGTATCACGCTTATCGCAAAATGACAGTCAAAATTTATCATGTTGTTTCTTCCCGTATTCAACTCATATATACACTTCTGAGTTTAGATTCGGATTATAACACGACAACAATAATAATACAAATCAATGAATCATATGTCCCGGTCTAATTTCAATATTGTTTTCTTTTCAATATTTTGTAAGAAACTTATCGGTTGAAGGTAATTATACTCTAGCTCATGTTTTTTTACGTGCTATATTCTATGTTTGTGTCACCTCTAATGTGTGTGACCTTTGTTTGTCAGATCCAACAAATCTAGCTATAGTGATTATTTTGTCCTCGCAGCCTCAATATTATTTTTATACGCCGAAGGCCAACAAAAGGATAAAAGTTTACTTAAATTTTCGAAAGCCAAAGAGTCAAAAGATCAAAGGTAAAATATGTCTTTCATGACTACGACTCTCCACCAATTAAACAATTTAGAAGACGCTTCAACTTCTCACAGAACAAGTCAATACCGAAGATGAGAAGAAATTTTCATCCTTTCTCTTTAATCCGAAAGAAGTCCAAAGATAAAATCAAATCTTCTTCTACATATTGCCAAAACCTAAATTCAATGAACATTTCCCTTATCTGTTTCCTGCTGCTTACCCTCTCATATTTCTCTTGATCTGAATTTCTTGTACTCCAAGCAACAAAAAATACTCTTTCTTTGATGGCGAAAAAGAAGCATCGAAAGCTCTTCCCTATGTTAGCAAGAGAAACTAACCAAACGTTAGATTGCTCAATAGGAATCTGCGACCCAATTTGCCCTTACAATTGCTATCAAGAACCAGATTACTACACCATATCCCCAACGCTACCTCCATGGTCATCTCCACAGCCAATCACAGCTCCATCACCGTCAATCTCAGCCGTTTATCAACCATCTCAAAACCCTTCATCTTCCATTGACGCCATAACCATCATCACCGTTACCGGTGCAGTCATACTCATCCTTCTTACAGGATTCTTTCTTGTAGCCAAATACGTTACAGAGAGCGTAAACCGAGTCAGCCGCGAAAGATATCACTCCTACGACAGCGACGACGATTCGGTGGAAGAAGAGTTTCAAGATAGGGAACTAGTGGATCATCCAATCTGGCTAATCAGAACAACAGGTCTGCAACAATCGATCATAAACTCGATTACGATCTGTAGTTACAAGAGAGGAGATGGGTTGATCGAGAGAACAGATTGTCCTGTTTGTTTAAGCGAGTTTGAAGAAGACGAGAGTCTTAGGTTATTACCTAAATGTAACCACGCTTTTCACATCTCTTGCATTGACACTTGGCTTAGGTCTCACACCAATTGTCCTCTGTGTCGAGCCGGTATAGCGATCAGTGCCACCACTCCACGGTGTTCTGGTCCGGTCGATGTAACTCCCGGAGGATCAGGATCTCGTTCGGAGAACGATGGAGTTGGTGAAGCTCTAGACCGGGACCTGATCGAGAACAGAGGTGAGTTAGGGAGAGAGAGTGACGAACCGGGTTTCAAAGAGAGACTGAGTTCTAGTTACCGAGATTCGGACAACACAGATCCGAATTCAGATGTCAGGATAGACATTTCTGGTGTTGTCGACGGTGATGGATCCGAGACAGAGACGAAAGAGAAAGTTCGGGTTTTCGGGGAGTGTATGGATTCAAATGGAGGAGAATCGTTTGATTCTCTCTCGCGTACGAAAACCCAGATTGAAAATGTAGACTTTGCGGGAAAATCATGCGAGAAGCAGAGTCAGGACTTCACTGGACAAGAGAAGAGAGAGGAGAACAGAACCATCGGAGACGAAGCAAGCTGTTCCGAAGAAAACAGTCGCGACAATGTCGAATCACTGAGAAGTTCTGATCCCACTGAATCGAACGGCGAAGAAACCGAAGGTACAGAGAAAAGTCAGTCAGGCATTTCGTCGAACACGTCCAAGACAATCGGAAGCTCTTCGGAATCATGCTTCACCAAAAACAAAAGTTCGGTTTTTCCGCTCTAGTAAAGTCTCTACAAAACCCTTTTTTCCCATTATATATAAAAGAAAGAGAAGATAACAATGCTGCGGAAGTGTTCAAGTGTTTGGAAACTCCAAATAGATAAGCCACTAAACTCTTTTTTGTTCATTACTTTCCTCTGGTGTGTTCATGTTTATTGAATTCCATACTTAGCTGTACATGTTTTTTGACTTTTTACAATGCTATATATCTAACATGAACATCTTTGGGCCGACAAATCCAACCCAGTAAACTATATATAGAGTTGTTAGTGTTCATAATATAATAGATTTATGGACAATATATAAGTGGGTGACAATCTTCCACTCTTGAGCTAGCTTTTGAGTGTGAATTAAGCACATTGCTATAATATCAGAGCTCAATGTTCTAATCATTTGATTGTAGGCCACATCCGTGGCTATCTAGTCCCACAAAACTTCATAGTGAATGTGACGAAGATATGCCTCATTGCTGATATGATATCAGAGCTCAAAATTCTAATTGCTCGATTTTGGACCACATCCGTGGATGTCCAATCCTGAGGGGATGTTTTAGTATCTCACATCAATAATATAAAAGATTTGTAGATAATATATATATATGTGGTAATCTTCTATTTTTGAATTAGTTTTTGGGTGTGAATTATGCCTATTGTTAATATACAAACGATGAAGAAAATCACATAGATGGCCATTTAACAACTTAACAAAAACACCCAAAAAAAACTAAAACACCTTGGAAAATCTAAATAAATATCTCACAAGCAAATAATTTTTTTTCCGCACATACAAGCAAATTATAATTCACACTAAATTGAATTATGGTTAGAAACTAGAGATATATAATATTCATTTTTCTTTCGCAGGCTAATATATGAGGCCACAAGCCCACAACTATGAATACATACAAGCCCAATTGTACAAATGGCTCAACCCTTAACACTGCTCAGTTCAAACCCAATCTGATACATCAACTCGTTTGTCGGTGGGACCTAAGCCTTGTTACTGTCATGGTTAATGAACCTATGAAGAAAATGTTACGGTGTTGAAATTTGTTTTTATTTTAATAGTATGAAAGTATTTTTTCCGTTTAGATGATATGAACAACGAACGGTGCGGAAATATATCAATTTCAATCACATCTGAACAAATATTTACTTAGGGAAAAGTTAAGGAAAAGTTGGTGATTCTAAAACTCAATCATGAAAAAGATGCTAAAACAGAAGTACAGAACAGTCAGCTATATAATAGAGGGAATAAAATTTTGATTTTTTGTGTAATCAAATCGATAGGCTTTACTTTTTACTTTTTTCTCGCTTTTGCTCTTTAACCCCGAAAGTGAAAAACATTGATTCTAAAGATCTTTGATAGGTCTTCATGATACGACAATCATCATCGTCATGTTGCGTGAATCCCACGAAATGCTACTTATGGGCGTCGAGGTTTAAGGATTTAATTTTAAAGATAAAGAAAAACAGAGTCAAGGATAAAATTCGAGATTCATGATCCTGAGTTAGTGAGTTTCCTGTTTCATAATTTAATCATTTTCTTTAAGGAAAAATGCAATATAAAAAGCGCTCGAACTATCTATTTTATTTTTGTGCAATAGCACCATTCATTTATAAATACTGCAAAATAAGTCATCTAATGAAAATGAGACATTTTTATCATCAGCTTTAACAGTGTATATTATATAGTAACGAAATGTAAAACGATGTCATAACAAAACAAAACACAAAGCCATCGCGTGTGGTTTGAACTTATAATACCTGATGGATTAGTAACTTTGTGTTATTTCTAAGACAATCTTGATGTTAAGTTTTTGAAATAAAGGGTTAGAACAATAGAACCTAATCGGTTCCGTTGCAGCATGGGTGTTTTTTTTCGTTTTGTTTTGATACAGCTTGAATGTTGGGTGTTGATCTAACCATATACCCGAAAGAGGTTCAAATCTATAGTGTCTGCATTGTCTCTCGAACCAATTAATGGAAGAGAAGACCAAAATACATTTATTCTGCCGAAGAAATGTTTTGAGTAAAAGCAGTTTTTAACCATTATTAGCTAGGAAAAAAAAAAAAATTTTGGATCGAATTGTTTAGCAAAACAAAACAATAATTGTAAGAGGCTGCATGAAACTTATACAATCAAGTACTCGCCACGTTGTGGACCACCGACTTGGTTGATATATAAATATAAGTGTGTGTTATTATCAATATTTTTAATACATTTGGTTCGAATGTTTCAGTTCATCAATGAGGTAGAAAATGTCAAAGTACAATATATTATATAATTATCGTTAAAACGGAATGCAAGCCATTTTCAGTACAATATAATACAATCGTGAAAAAGCTTGAAGTCATTGGAGTAAAGATCATATTCATTCTCTTTTACAAAATTAAAATATATATATATATATATATATATATATTTTTGAAAAAAGCATCATTGTCGGTGAGACATAAACTAACAAGCCTGTCTTTTTGTTTGGCTTGTGCATGTCAGAGAAATGATCAAAAATCTAAATCTTTCGTAGTTCTCGAAACCTGCTACTTAATTGAAACGGATTTCTCGATCAGTCGCTTACCATATTGCCATTACAAACTACACACATTCACCATTTTCACAGTAAACAAATGATCAATTGCAATTATGGATAAGATATAGAGACAATAAAAGGAAAGGACACACTAAGCATCATCATACACAAAAAGAGAAGCAATATATATCAAACACAAAGACCAATTGAAAATTATTTATTTTATTTATTTTAATATGAAAAAGAGTAAAAGATCACACATGAAAAATTAGAGTTCCTCTAAATGTGTCATAACTAAAATTCAACTATATTAGCTGGATGACTCTTCTTCAATCCTCCGTAGGATTTGATTCATAGCTGCTGCAATATCTTCCACTGTGTTCAACTGGCTCCCTTCTTCAACCTGAATCAAGCCAACTTTTTTAATTAAAAAGAATATTAATTTACATGAAAAAAATGGTGATATAGTAGGAAAAAGTAAAGTGAAAAATAATAAAAGAAAATGTATATATTTCGAGGAAGCTTATGAATGTGTCCTGAAACAAGTGGCGTCAATTCGTTCTGCCGTGCACAGTGCATCCACAGTTCTGTGACCACCAAAACTTCCACAGTACACATATACACACATGTATAGGCATATGTCATCTTTTTGGTCCCTGATTCTTACAAGAATCATTATTATGATACTCAACTTTTGTTTTTTGTTTTAATAAATAAAGAAATGATGATTTTGACCCTCCCCCAAACCAATAATTGAGGCCAGCCCTAACCAAGTTTAATATAAAAAAAAAAACGAAGACAACGAACGATGTATATCATTGTTCTTCAAAACCTTTATTTGGCCCAGACAAATAAATCACAAGACGTACAAATAACAGACAAATTAAATATGTGACAAAAAAACACATTAAATGAATGAAACATTTTGTGGTGGGAGAAGAATCAATGAACCATTGACCCAAATTGATTTTTTTTTTGTCAACTGACCCAAATTAAACTAACAATCAGAATAATGATTATATGAGCGACCCATACCCATTATTAGTAATTTTATTTAGATTTGCAGCATCATATAAACCCTAAATAGGGTATTATATTTCATTCTAACTCTATTTTTTGACTAATCTAACTCTAATTTGTTATGAAGCTATAATATGAATGAAAAAAAAAACTAGAAAGTGAAAGAAAAAAAAAATGTACCTTTAGGCTGATGGAATAGAGGACAGAGTTGTCACGAGTTGTCACGTTGAGATGAAGAAGAGTGAGTCTTAAGCTCTGTATCGATGCGACAAGTTTAAGAAGCTGTCTCGGTCGCTTCTTCGCAAGTATCTTCACACTCGCATGGCTCTCCACCATCGTCACCTCTATCTCCGCCGTCCCCTCAGCCACCGACGATGACGAAGGCCGACTCGAGTACTGAGGAAATGCAAAGAAATCTGAGAATGGTCCCAATGAGCTGGCGGCGATTATGTTGGTGCTGTCACCGGCGGCAGCGCCGGCTTCTTCTGCCACGTCGGTGGTCTTTACCGGAGGCTCCATTGATTGTAAATGTTGCTCAAGCTCCTTTAAGTAGTTAATGGCTCCGCCTACTATTGAAGCTTGATCTCCCTTTAACCACCACCAACCATAATGTTAAGCCCATAGAAATTGAAAAAAGGTTTTTTTCAAAAACAATCAAACATTTCTATTTCGTACCTTGTTTTTATATTTTTCACTATTTTGTCACAATTTTTTCATGCATATATGATGTGGATCGTCCTTTTTGAGTGCAATGATGTTCAAGACTTTATTTATATGCTCCCACAAATCCACTACCGAAAAAATTCATATAAAGACTACATGATCTAATATTATGAAAACAACAACTACTTTCGTTTTATTATATTTTTTTTTGTCAACGTAACGGCTTTCATTCATTCATCCATCATTATTATCAAATTTGTGTTTAATCATGTACACCTAGACATGCATGCCTATATGTCTATATAGCCTATGCTATGTCCTAATGAAACTAGAAGTCTAGAACATAGGCTTTGCCTTTTTTCTTTCTTTTTTCTTTTCGTTTCTTCACGCGTGAAGAAAAAATTTCACGCGCTCACACACACACATATACACATACATACTTGTTGTATATAGAGACTAACCCTTTGAGCATAAGAAGGTGGCATGAGAGAACGGAGAACGGCGAGGTATTCGTTCATTTGTTTCCGGCGATTTCTCTCAACGGCGATGTGAGTCATCCTCTGGTTCTCGATCTCTTCCTTGTTCTTGCTGCTCCTCATCCTCCTCCTCTTCCTTCTACCTCCTCCCGTCGCCACATCCGACGGTGGAGGCTGGTTCTCGGTGTCGACGGCGGATCCATAAAGAAGGTCGTCTCGTGGCCATTGAAGATCCTCCTCGTTGTAAATATAAACATCACTCTCTCCGCTTTTGTTACCGTCGTAATTAATACTCGCAAGCCTTTGTTCTTGTTCTAGTTCTTGCCCTAGCTTAATGTTGTTCTTGGTGTCTTGTGGATCTCGATCTTCTTCTTGTTGAAAGTATAAGTCGTGGAACGGAAAATTTTTGCAAGAGATGTATGAAAATGGATCTTGGGGGTAAACAATAGCCTCCAAGGCCATAATTAGCTAGAAAATTTGTAGCTAATTACTCTCAGAAAAATTTATATGTGAAAAGGCCGGTCCAAGCCAGAGAGAAGAAGAAAAAAGAAAGACAGAAAGTGTTTGTCTTTCTCTTTTTGTCGCGAGAGGGAGACAAGGCAAAAGGTAAAGACACACTATAGGGAAATTAAACTTGTAATGATACCTTTACGATTAAAAACCAATAGAAAGCTTTTCTTCAAAAACAAAAAAAAACTCAGTAAAATTGAAGAAGTAAGGAAAGAGGAACAACACGAGAAGGTCAGACAAAGTTGTGGTTTTGACCGATGGAAGAGAGGAGAAGCTTGTGAGGTTATAAAGCTGGGTCTTTTTTTTAAATAATAGAAGAAGTCCCAAAAAAAAAATCGAAAACAATTGAGTTCAGAAAAAGTAGAAGATATAGAGAGAGATGTTGTATATATAATTTGTTTTGCACGTGAGATTATAGACCTGTCCACAAAACCAAAGAAAAAGATTCTGTGTTCGTCTAGTTACACTCATGTTCGAGGAGAGAGAAATATGACGAGTTGAGGTCTCAACTTTATACGTTGCTATGAATTATCATGTGAGTCGCTATAATCAAATGAAATGTTTATATTAGTCAAATGAAATGTAAAATTAGACTTTCTAAAAAAAAGGTAAAATTAGTCCCGAAATTTGGAGAATGTTTGGGATGATAATAATTATTTGGTATATCACCTTTTAGGTGTCCAATTAATATTTTGCTTCTATGGTGCGTGTGTAATGCGTATAGATAAAGAGATAGATAGTGAGCTTGACGTCAAAGTTTTTTTTTGTTTCTATGCATCAGCCGACGTCGAAACTTTTTATAAATTTCGAAATCTAAAGGCTTATTTATGGGAATGTTTGTCCGCGAACCATGCACAGACAAAAATCGCTGATTTATTATTGTTTAATTTTTATGAAATCATATCATTTATCACATAACCCTACCCGTAATGGAATAACCGTAAAAAGCATTAAAATCCATGCATGGGTCCGAAAGCTCATTACCTTCGCATAGATATAAGGGAAATCTTGGATATATAATGATTAGATTGTATAATATTTTAAATTAACGGTGTACAATCTAGTGCTAGTTTTTCATTGGTAAATTTTGGCTTTTTAAAACGAATAGAATCTTAATTAACAACAAAGACAGATTCCTTTTACCAAAAAAAAAGAAGACAAATATTCCTCTGTTTTAATGTATAAATTTTTTTAGTTAAAAACCTGAATTTTTAAAAATACAGAAAAGTAGTTTTTTTCCTTTTTACTTTAAGTAAATTATTTTTTGCTTTCAAAATAAAAATCAAGTAACCATTAAGAAAACATATATATAAAAAACCATATATATCACAAAATATAAATGGTCATAAAACTTCAAATTAAATTAAATTTTGCAAGAAATTTGAAAAAAAAAATTGAACAACAAACTTCCAAATAGTTATAATATATATATATATATATATATATTTTTTTTTTTTTAAATAAACTGATTCAATATATAGTTTATCGTCTTTACATAAGAGAAATATGTCGGGAAAATCCTCTCTTATACAGTTATACTTTTTTTTTCGGGACCAAAGTGATCTGAATACCATACATAACTTGTTGGTAGTGTTATAAAATACATTATACTGTATATATAAGTTAGTCAGGTGGTGAACTATTGTATCACTGTATGTCTAAACGTATACTTGTCCGTTTACGTGGAGACTGGGGGTTTTTTTTTTAGTATAAAAAATATTAAACATAGAACTATTATTTTTTTTTTGTAAAAGATTAACATAGAATTATCATTATAATATTCAAATGTAGCTACCAAATCTATAATAAAAAGTGACACAATAGAAATCTCATAATTAATATTAAAAAGATTAATCCTTAAAATGAAAAATAATACTCTCTCCGTAATTTTTTAATTGTCGTTTTAGAGTGCTGCACGCTTATTAAAAAAAACTAGAGAAAAACTACACTAACCTTATAGAAAACAACAAATTATGATTAGTATGAATGTTTGTGTTTTATTAATTGAGGATTAATATGAGAAATTATTAGCATAAGTTACACTATTTATTCAAAACGACACTTAATTTAAAACAAAAAATAACTCTAAAACAACAATTAAAAAAATACGGAGGGAGTATGAAATAATTAATTTTGTAGTCATTTTTCCAAGAACAATACGACATTGGTTTGTTTTGGACATTCAATCGAAAAAAGAGTCCTCGTAAACGCGGCAAATCTGTACATGATATTTGTATACATAATCATTTTGCTATTTTTTTGGTATAATACTCTATATAGCATAAAATAGTTCAAGTTTTCACCCTAGCTACTACATATATATTGGATGTATGGCGCGCGGCAAATACTGTATGTACACTGGTTTGTATCAACCTATGCTAACGTCATTTGAAAAATTTAACTCATACACAACCATTAGAGAAAAAAAATCTTTTTTAAAAACATGTAAATTTAACTGAAAATAATATATTTTCAACAATATTGTTTTACGTTTTAAGAACATCTCCAACAAAACCTTTTATTTTAAAAAGAACTAACCCTCAAAATAAAGATTTAAAGGTGAACTACTCCAACAAAAACCTTTAAATTTAGTCTTAAAAATATTTAAATATTACATACTAGTCCTCAATATAAATAATAATTAAATAAAATAATAAAAATAATATAATAGATACAAAACATATTTTATACTAAAATGTTATAGAACATATAAATAAATAAAACATTACATGATAATATAAATTAAAAAAATAATACATTCATAAACTAAATAATAAAATTACATATAAAATAACAAATTATTAAATAAAATTATTTCCATAATACTCCCATATATTATCAACTAATGTATTTTCGAAGTGAAATGAGCTTCTTTGTTTTTTATCGAGCTAAAAATTGTTAAAATCAGATATTTTTCGTTTTATTGCTATTTCAACTGTTGTTTGAGGTATATAATTATGTGGATTAAAGTAAAAAAGACAAAAAATTTATTTGATTATTTGTAAGATATATGGATCACAATTACTAAAATGAAAAGTAAAATTTTTGTTAAAGAGATAACTAGGATCCCTTATATTTGAGGGGTTACTATTCAACCCTTTAAAAAACAAGGATTTGAAAATTTATTGGAGACCAAGACCCTTTAAAAAGTAAGGGTTTAAAGATCTATTGGAGATGATCTAATAGACATAGACAGGAATATATACTTATGGACAAAACAATAAATTTCCATCAAACTTAAAACAACTCTAAAATTTTTTTTTATCCAGTCTAAACATTTTACTTCGACTCTGGCTGCCGCATGCATATTTTTTAGTTGCTTCAAAACAAAATATGATTTGGGTTTTTTTTGAAAATTTCTTAATTATAGCGTATACAACAGAATTTTCTGAATATCAAAATCACTCGACTATCTAATTTTCGCATGGTCTGAAAATGAAGACCACAGCAATCCATATAAATTTTCCAAACTTCCAATCAGGTGACGAGGGTTAACCGTAACATTTGCTTCCCAATTACACGGTCAAAATTAGTCACAGAAAATATTCACGGATAACAATAAGAATAACATTTCGGCGGGTGGGGTATTTGCTTTTATTAACGTAATCATGTTAAGTTTTAAAAAGTATTCTTGATGTTGACATATGTAAGAAAAAAAAATATGATAGCCACACTTAATTTGTATATTAACTAGCTAGGTGTCATGTTTTTATTAGTCCGATCTAAGCACTGTATTCATTAATGATTATCGAACTTAGCCCGAAAAGAGGATGTGAGAATTGGATGGCTATGATACCACTTAGGGTTGCTTGGTTACAAAATTGGTTGGTTACTTTAAATAATCGATGGACAAACAACTTAAGTAATAAAAAATTAGGAGAAAAAGATTTCATATGATCAAAAGAATCCTATTTAGAAACACGATGGGAAATAAATCTTAAGCTATGATTCTCTTGTCTCCTTTGAGTCCGTGTACCTATATGAATGACTTGGCAACAAAAAACAAAAAAAATACCCTCTATAATAAAGCCCGGCAAATCATCTGATATTTTTTTCAGGGATCGTGAAAATTCTAATTGATATACAAGAGCTGGTAAAACGTGAATATGAAGAAGAAGAAAAAAAAAAGCACCCTACGCAAAAAATGAAGAAAAAGAAAAAATATAAATAACGTTTTAAAAAAAAAAAAAAATTAAATAACGATAATGTTTTTACCTTTCACGACAATGATAATGAAAAGACACATACAGATACACTAATATTTTCAGGTAACCGAATCTCCTAATTACAAAGGGATTAAATTGATAATATATAAGTTATATGGCTAAAGAATAGTTGATTTTATGATCAGTGTGTAATGTACCTTTTTTTGTCGGCCAGTATGTATATGTAACTACTTTTTATATAATAAATGTAATATGAAACTATGAAATATATATATTCCTAAAATTGTTTATTGTTAAAATCTGACTTTTATCAACTTTTATACATATGTTATAATGAAAATTATCACTCCGACGTATTGTAAATAGCCGATTTTTTTTTTTGTTACGGTTAAAGTAAGTCCGAAGAATTCGAATCAATGTCCTAATATCTTTTATCAGAATTAAAATCCTTTTGAAATAGCTTTGAACTCAGTGGATTTGACTCCTCGCTCCTCTGGATTAGCTAGTCTGACTTAATATTAATTAAGATACTATAATAGTCCGACATAACTCTTAAGTTTGGCTCATCTTCTTTAGTTCTTACATATGCAAAAATAAATTGGCAGTAGGGACAAAGAAGTAAAATTGAAACAAGAATGAGGAGAGAATGAGCCATGTGACCTCACAACACTCTTCTTCTTCTCTCTCTCATGATAATCTCAAACATTGGCTTCTCTCTTTTCCCGAGGGACTTCCCAATAACACAATCCAAAGCTCTCTCTCTCTTTCCGATCAAAAAGTTGAGTAGCTTTCTGCAGCAGTTCCATTTCCAACGTCTTTGTTTCCCATCTAGCTTTTATCTCATCCTTTGTTTTACTTCACTTGATCAAATCCTTGATGAGTTATTCTGAATACAATATCATTTTACATAAAAAGGTTATATTACTATTATTTTATCTTTCTAGTTAGTAATCTGAACTAAAAGAGATAATACTTTATTAAATTTTGTTTAGAAAAGGAAATACAGTTTATAAAAAAATTATTTAAAATTTTGCATTGAAATACAAAATAATATACTTTATTAGGAATAATTAATATTTTAAAACGATTGATATTATTACACGAAGCACTAAAATTTAAGAATTAAGTATATGAATGATTTTTTTAGATATAATTTTATAAATTATTGGAATTTTATAAT